GGGCAAAAATGTAAATTGGGGTGCGGTATTTAGCAAAAAAGGTGCGGTATTTAGCAACACCCATTATAAAAATAGGAGCCATGCAACGATATTAATTTTCCCTCTCTCTACTGTATATTAATCACCTGACACTCATCGCTGGTAAAGTAATAAAGCAGCCCGAATGTTTATGTATGAGCCAACGAGACTATAACACCAAAAAGTAAGACACGGATTATGAGTTCAGTCGATGCTACCCGTATGAGTTGTACCCATTTTCACTGTTCTCCAGTAAAAACTCGCCACGTGTATTCCACTCAAAGATTTGAAGCTCCTTCTATTTTCACGCCACTTTTGCTTTTAAAATAATTTTAGGACTTTTTTAATATGTTGTAACTATACCATGGTTAAACTGATCCTCTGAAAAATTTAAAACCAGATCTGAAGAAAGGGTTCTCTACTCTCGATTCCAAATCGTCTCTCTACTCTCCACTCCAAATCGCTTGACTTGAAGAAAGGGTTCTCTCGACTCCAAATCGCCTCTCGACTCCAAAGTTGTTTCTGATTCAGGTTGTTCTCTCGATCTGTTCTTTTTTTNTTGAGAGAATTTGAATGAACAATCTTAAGGGCTTACATAGCAATCTTGTCAGCCATAGTTTAAGTTTATTTTTTCGTGTTAGGTATCCATCCAGTAATGAAAAAGGAAGGGGGATAGGAACACGCCTGACCTGTTTCTTTCAAGAAAATACATTTTTTGAATTTTTTAAATCATTCTGGAACAAACTATTCGTAGGTTTTGGTGGTGTTGCTTAAAATTAAGTTGTTTCTGGATCTGGTTTTCGGTATACTCTTTAGATATTTTTTATATCAATGTTTTGAATGACAATGGATGTGTTTTTGGTTTTGATTGTTTCAAAATAGAATTGTAATTTTTATTTTTATATATATATGCTTATTGTTCATTACGAATGTATGTTATTTTTTATTATATATTTTGTTTGGTAACCAGGGCAACTAATAAATAGAAAATGGGTAGTTTGATGTCCAGATTAATAAACTTTTGTTTGGTAACCAGGGCAGCTAATAAACTTTGGATTGTATATATTCAATTGGTATATTCAATGGACAGTTCCATGTATGCATAGTTTATGTATGGTTTGTGTTAAGGTTTGGTTTATTTGATTTTGTATACGCTTTCTTGTGTGATTGTGTACTTGCAACTAATTAGAACTAATTTGCATAATTGGCTGATGTGTTTTGGAGTATGTTTATATTGCATAACATGTTTCTTTTGTTCTACTTTGGTGAATGAGACTTTGTTCTGCACATGAGCTTATGAATTTGGATTTGGGTTCGAGTTGAATAATAATATTTCATTTTTTTCTTTGAAGGTTTGGAAATGTCACAGACTTCAACTACTCAAAAATTTAGAGGACTAGGACCAAGTAGATTGAAGTATGAAGATAGAACCTGTGATCAATGTGGAATCAAAGTTGCAGTTAAGATTGTTGGCCCTCAAAGTCCAAACTTTCAGAAACTATATTACCATTGTGATAGACATAGATTTATTGGTTGGGCTAATCCAATAAATGAAGACGAAGTAAGCATAAGAGAAGAAGTTAGCACAAGCGAGAAATCTGTTGTGGATCGTGAAAGCTACAAAGATGTGAAAATAAAGAAGAAACTTGATAAGATGTTTGATTTATTACTTGTGTTGTTTGTAGTTGTAATTGTAATGCTTTTTATTATTATAATGAAATAAACGATTGAGTATTTTTATTTCTTGGACATGAATGATTAATTTCTTATATAAAAGCGGGTAGCGAATGAATATTTTATTGTTTTTATTTTAACTGTTAGGTTTCTTTTAAGTTGTTCCACTATAAGTTGATGAATATGAATTATCATACAACTTCAATACATAGTAAAATAAATGCAAGATTTTATTTATTTTTATCTAAAGATAGAGGTTGGGGTACATAAAGAAAATAAAGAATACATTTCTTTTGGAGGGTCCTTAACAACACTATTACACCACAATAAAGAGTTCCTAACAACACTATCACACAAAATAAATGTACCTAACAACACTATTACACCACAATAAAGAGTCAACCTACAAAACATGATAAAGTGCATTTAAATCTCCATTATCTTCAATTATTGGAAGGTCCCTGCATTAAAAAAAAAAAATATTAAAATAGTAAAGACTAAAAGATTATTAAATCTTAATTTACAAGGCATTAGATTTGATGTACCTGTGATGAAAAGGGATCAAGTTGATACCCAAATAGATTGAATGGATTACCGAAATTGATGTTTGTATTTGCTCCCTATAAATCAAAATAAAATAAATAAAAAGTATTAATTTTATTAACATTCTTGTAGAAAAATAATAAAAGTATCATTTGTTAGCCAAAACATTGAAAAACTTATTATTTACCTCATCCGTGTTGACATCATTTTGAGAAGATTGAGTCGGGCCACCTAAGTTTATGTTTGTATTTCCTCCCTATACATTAAAATAAAATAAATAAAAAAGTATTAATTTTATAAGCGATAATGTTGAAAAAGAATCATAAAACCATCATTTACCAATTGATTTATATCAGGCCAAAACATTGAAGATTGAAATGGATATTGTGGACCATTATTTGCCTCTTCCGTGTTGACATCAATGGGTGAAAATTGAGTCGGGCCACCTAAATTGATGCTTGTATTTCCTCCCTACACATTAAAATAAAAATAAATAAAATCTATTAATTTTATTAACATCATTGTATAAAAAAAATAGTAAAGTATCATTTACCCCTTGAGTCTTTTTTCTTGATCGGCTTGTATTTCCCACCTTTTCTTTGCCCCTTTTAATTTTCTTGCTCTTGTCCCAATGACGTGTTATTTGAGCATTTGTAACTCCCCTTGACTTGGCCGGAGGTGGATTGCGGACACGGACATTATCTTCATCAACCAATTCATCATATGAATCATCTATGTCCAAATCCTTCAAAAGACAAGTTATTTCTTTGTTTGCTTCTTCAATGATTTCATTCAACCTACTTCTTGTCTCCGGGTGAGATTTGCTCAAATGCACCAAGTCATACGAATTCCTCATTGCATGATTCACAAATGTCAATTGAGAAACACCACTAGTTCCATGAGGAGTACATATTCTTTCAAATTCAGTACAAAACCTTAGTTCGGCTTTTCTTGACCACCGACTCATTATATATGGCTCAGGCAACACAATGATATTCATGGAAATGAAAACTTTTAGTGCATGTCTACATAGTATTCCCATTGTTTCGAAAAAATGACATGAGCACTTTACTTCAACATCATACTTTTGAAAGAACACTTGCCTAACCTTTGAGTTGTCGTTGTGAGACCGCAACTTGAATTCAAGCCAACCATTGCCAAAATCATTTTGATCAATAAGTGCAATATTCAAAGACTGCACAAATTCCCGCTCAAATAATTTATATATGGAGAAAGTATATACTTCAGCGGCGTGCGACAACAAGGGATTATTTTTAACAATTTGGCCCGGCCTCCCATGGCTACAATGAGCATCATCATCTTTCTCAATCGACCTCCATTTATCTTGAACTTTTTCATAGTTCAAAACAAATTGATGCAAAGTAAGAGCCTTATTGCCCAAGTCTTTCAACACCCGATTTGTAACCTCACTTCTTGAAGTGGCTTGAAGACCTGCACAAAATTTGTCATTACTAAATGTTGTAGCCCATCTCTTTCGCAGTTTATACATCCCCTTTAGCCATCTATGATCACCAAGGTTGTACTGCTCAATCATTAGCTTCCATGTCTCTTCAAACTCATCTTCAGAATCACAATATGACATGCATTTATGCCATAAATTCTTAAACACTGACTCACCATTCAAACTTCCTAAATGGGACGGAGCATTTTGATTGATGTGCCACTGACATAAGCGATGATGCGAATGAGTAAAAACTTTATCAATAGCATTCATCATAGCCTGACATTGATCAGAAAATACAACTTGTGGTTGTTTTCCATTCATAGATTCAAGAAAAGTCGAAAACAACCACTCAAAGGAACTCTCCGTCTCATCAGACAAGAAGGCAAGGCCAAACATCACATTCTTTTTATGGTGATTTATACCAACAAATGGAGCACAAATCAAATTGTACTTATTTGTTTTGTAAGTTGTATCAACTGATAGCACATCACCAAAAAAGTCGTAATCAATTGCACATCTATGATCCCTGAAGAAAAAGTTCATGATTCGATTATCATCATCCAATTGAACATTCCAAAAAAATTGATTTTCTCCATTAGCCTTGTTTATAAAATATTGAAGTAAACAAGCAGCATCTCCATCTTCAACTTTGGTATGCCTTTTAAGACGACTAAAATGATCATATGCGTCTTTTCTAGTAAAACCTAAGTTTTGTGCACCATGAGCCTCATTTTCCATAAAAGAAACAGCATTAGCAACACTAATTCCTGCATTCACCATAGCTTCTAGAGTTGATTTTTTGGCATGTGTTATGTTGCGTGATGATCTCAACAAATGAGTTTGATCCTGCTGAATCATTTCATGATTGTGTTCCATATAGAACCTGCTCACTTTCCATTCCCCTCCTCTCTCCCTCGCAACTCCAAGTCTTGCTTTGCATTTTGTTCTAGTTATTGATTTTAGATACTCCGGAATAATATTCTTAGAACGTTTTTCATCTTTAACTCCTTCACAAGAACATTCAAATTCTTTCATTTGCAGTTCTTTAGTGCCCGAAAAGTATCGTTGATCACCTTTTTTAACACTAAAACCTTTGGCATGCGCATATTGACAGTAAAGTAAATATGCTTCTTCAATGTTATTTATTTTCATGCCCTCTGATAGTCTATTTTCTAAATGCTCTACTACGGATTCAAAAGACTGAACCTCCGGATTTGGTGTTGAAGAACGCCCAAAATCTTGTTCTTGAAACTCTTCACCATTACCCTCGATGTCTTCACATTGCTCCGCAAAATAATTCTCCATTTTAGTAATACCTACATACAACAAATATATCAATTCATAAACTTACACAAAGAAAACAAAATAAATAAATAAAAAATATTAATTTTTAATCTATCACATGCTAAGTTCTTACACAGTCTGTTCAAAAAAATAAACACTCTGTTCAAAAATAAACTTCACTTTAATGCCAAGTCTTTTTTTTTTTTTTTTGCAATTCAAAAAATACCAACAAATGCCAAAGAGTTTATGCAAAACAAGAACATGGCTGTATACCAACACCACAAGTGCAGATTCCATGTAAAACCACAACAAAAAAAACATGGCAAAAATTCTAAATTGTTAACACATATCTAGAAGCACACATCCCCCGGACTCCACTAGCCAAGGAAGATTTGGCTATATTTTTTACCACTTTAAACTGTTAACAAGAATGCTGCAGAAGAACAAAATATAAATAACAAATATTTTTTCAAATGGAAGAGAAGATATGGTGAAAGAAGGAAAAAGAATAAAACCGAACATGAATTACATTCCTCCAAGTTCTCCATTATACCCAAAAACGCAGTTGCACAATCTACAAAATACATCAAACCGAACAACAAGACAATAAACAAATGCGGTAAAATGCAATATATACCTGTGGTTCAAGAATAACTTATGTATTTACGGGGCGCGATTTCGGACGATTTTAGGTGCAATTTCGGGCGATTTTTTTTTAGTCGAGAGGTTTTTTTTTTTTTTTTTCAGTNGCTTTCACTGTTTGCAGATCTTAATTTCGCTTTCACTAACCATGGTATAGTTACAACATATTAAAAAAGTCCTAAAATTATTTTAAAAGCAAAAGTGGCGTGAAAATAGGAGGAGCTTCAAATCTTTGAGTGGAATACACGTGGCGAGTTATTATTGGAGAACAGTGAAAATGGGCACAACCCTTACGGGTAGCATCGACTTAACCCGGATTATGTTATTTTCTGTTAATTTACTATTCACCGCCTTCCCTATTACTATTCACCGCCTTCCCTATTACTACTTATCGTCCCCCTTTGGACAATTTTGTCTCTGGTATTTTTTTCT